TATTTGCGATAGCTGCCTCCACTGCGAGAACGCTTGCCTGATAAAAGAAAGATTTTATGTCATAACTTTTGATATATTATTGTCTTTATCAAAATATCTTTAGCAATTATGTTTACTCAAATAGCAACAGCATAAAGAATTGTATTTTTTGTTTTGGACAAAAACGATTACCTAATAATAAGTAGAATTTTAAACTAGGATGCCCCTTGCGCAGTTTTTATTGTTCACTCAAGCTAAGTTTGTTAACACATATGGGCTAAATTTTTGTTCTACATAAAAAAAATAGTGAAATAATCATTAAACCTATATATGCAATTTTTTACTTTCAATATTTCGGTATATAAGGGGGTCTTCCTATGTGATGGGTTGAAAAAATCGATTTTTTTCTTTTTTCATATTTCGGTAGATTTACCTTTAAAAATAACATATTAAAATTTCAAATCAATATCTCAAATAGTTTGAGTTACAGCTATTTAAAAAGTATACATATAGTATATAGTACAACGATCATTTTATCTTTAAACTGTGTTTTTCAAACTTTCCTCCATTGTATCTCAGAAACGGCTGGACCGAATTACTTGAAATTTACAGGACACACTAAATATATTTAAACGCATGAAATGAACTTTTATCATCAAACTTCGATTTTTTTATAGCAAAAACAAAAAAAAATACGCCTAATTTGCAACTTTTATTTCAAATGCTTATCAAAAATCCAATTTTTTTTATATTCAGTTGATTATAGGTCATTCCGTGCTTTTAAGCCTACAAATTAAAACGCCGTTTATTTTATTTTTTTCTGATAAGCCAATCAGCCGGAATCGTGGAGGAAGTGGGAGCTCTTTTTTTCGAGGCGGGGGTGTTCAGAGCGCTGTAACTCTAGTTTGACTGAATATTTTTAGCTGAAATTTTATATTTATACTGTTCAAATATGTGTTAATAAATGATAAAAAACTTGAAGCTCTAAATATTTACTGGTCGTAGAAAAAAAATCCTAAAATATCCCTAAAAAACAGGCCGTCACATAGGAAGACCCCCTTAATGAATTATGTATCTTTGAAATCACAGTAAACTTTAATGTTTGCACTTCTGGCCCTAAATATTGATCGTGGTGTCTTGATTCCACTACAAAATTAAAATTTATGCATAATCTTATAAAAAATAAGCCATAAATATTTGGTGTATTATTGAAAAATTTGGAATGTGACCTAAAAAAGCCATAGAATGTTAATAAAGTTCATATATAATCAAAGGAGCAATATAAATTTGATAATTGAGTACTAGGATAATATGTTGACATATTTAAAAAGAAATCTTAAAATGTAAAAACATTTAAATAAAACTTATTAAATAAAAATAATATTAATTATTTTTTAACTTAATAAATTTTTTTTTTAACACATGGACATGATCCTTGTAATAATAATCATTGTATGACGGTTTGTGAAATAAATGAATAAGCATTACCTCTGCTGGATCTGGATCTTGATCTACTGCTGCCTGATCTATAATTTCTGGGCTTAGATCTGCTACGAGATTTTCTATCCATGAGTGATGGGTCATCCTTTGACAATGCTGGTGGTGGCTCTTCAACCAATCTGAAATTCCCAAATTTATCCAAAACTACATTTCCTTTAGGCTGCTGTTTTGGTGAAGGCGGTTTTAATTCCTCAGGTTTTCTTGAAGGGGGCGGAGGTGGAGGGGCTGCCTTAGATGATGATTTGCGCGCCATTTTGCTTTCAGTCGGGGTTGGCGGTAATGCAATATTATTTGTCGCTTTCATTTCATCTTCAGATTCAGAAGCCGCAAAAGGATAAGATTTCACCAGCTTATTTTTAGAAGTCTCTTGTTTCGCAGCAAATCTAAAATATAGTATAATTAAGAATACTGTTGAAATACATGTGAAAGTGTAGTAATTAAATTATACTGAATAATCATTACTGCCTGCCTACAGTGAATAATAATGATAGACTTCTAAACTGCATATTTATTTGTATGACAGTAATATTTTCCATATTGAATATTACCTATTATCTTTCCCAAATTGCATTTTCCATTTCCCTTCCACTGAATCAGGTTCTGGAGGATAATTTTCAAGATGCGGAGGAGCATTCTTATGTTCTCTTCTGCCTAGATTATTGTGATCAGGTGATTCTTCATGTAAACTCATTTGCGATCCAGACCTTAAAAAAAAGAAAAATATGATAGTGCAAAAAACATCACATAAATATTGAACATATAGAATCACCACCTTATCCTTTTTATACAAACCTTTTAGAAATGGGGTCTTTTTCCATTTTAGCATAATAAGCATTCAATTTTGTCTCCAATTCATCCAAATCATCTAGATCTCTGAAAAGAAAATCAAGAATTGAAATAAAACTACAAATATATTTTGGGAAAATCCGGTTTACCAATGACATTTGTTCATTAAGAAAACATTTAAATAAAAACAAAAGTCAATGATAAAAGTAATTGTTGTTACACAAGGGATTTTCACTGAAACTAACTTTGAAATTGGATTGAACATTTTGTCATCATCAGTGCTGATATTTCTAGATCGATGTTTTTTAGAAGCGTTGTTCATTTCATCTAATATCTCTCCATGTTTGTGAGAAGATAATTCTTTTCTGGAACAAAATATATAGGAACTGAATGAAATACTAATCATAGTAAAAATGAGATAACTCCAGACAAACCGCACTCAGAAAGCTGGAACGTCATAACAGTGATTAATATAAATGATAAAAACATCTTATCATGTAGCATCTTATAAATTTTTAGCATATATGATTTTACCAATCTTGATGTGATTTTTTCAAGCGATCTCACATGCCGTTCAATTCTACTAATTCACAAACTTCATACACAACTATTGAGACTTCTACAATGATCTGTAATTTGCATTAAGTATTTCATATGAAAAAATATATTATTTACCTTAAAGCATCTCTGAACTTTTTGCTTTCCATTTGTTGTTCAAATTCTCTAAGATCAAATGGGCGACCTCTTTTCATTGCCTTTCGCTCTTTACGTTCACGTTCTTTGCGTTTGCGTTTGCTTTCCTTTTTAACTTTACCACCAGATTTATCTTTCTTGTTCTTTTTTCTCTTAGGTTTCGCTACTGAGGATTCTGATTCAGCCAGAATTGTCTTTTGTTTTTTAAACCTCGCAGTTTCTTCTAAAAACTTGCGAACTTTCTCTTCATAGTCAGAATCTTCACGGGTCATCTCTAAGAATTTTCGAACCTAAGAGAAGAATGAGTCATATTTCACTAATAGGAAAAAATTTGAAAGTATTTAAAATTTAATATTAAAACAATGTCTCTCCACTGAATAATATCTACCTTATTTTCGTAATCATCTCCTTGTGGAGCACCTTTATTGAACTGCAAAGTATTTGATGCAGTATTACTGTGTGGTTGTTGGGGATCCATCAAAGCCATACGTTTACTCAAAGGTGAAAGAGAACCTCTTGCTTTAGAATGATCACGAGAAGAACGCTTTTTCTTTCGCCTTTTACCACCTTCATTATCAGAGCCTATTTAAAGAAATGTAGTATATCAAACATCAAATAGTATTTTAATTTAAGGACAAAAGATTGAATAAATAATATATTGAGGAGAAAATAATGAAATATAAAACAATGAATATATACTTTATGTATTTGTTACTTATATTTATTCCAAAAATTTTAGTATTATTCAAAGAATTATAATTGTTGTTATTAAGGATATACTGGAAAATATCACAACCTTTACTTTTTATTTTTTTGTAGCACAAAAAGAAATTAATTTTGTATTATTATTACTCAACAAGATTACAATGTGAAACTAATTTGAAACTTTACAGACCATTGTGGAACCCCTATCTTAATATTTAAACTGTTTAAAAGAAATGTCACCCTGTATATTTGTATATACACACACCTGTTGAGCTAGAACTGTTTTCTGAACTACTTTCGGAGCTACTATCACTGCTTTGTGAACTGTCAGAAGAGCTACTACTAGAAGTAGTGCTAGAGTTGTTCCGTCTTTTCTTCATTTTTGAGCCCTTTTTCTTCTTTTTCTTACCAGACCCATCCTTACGACTTTCATTCCCATCATCTTCAAGATTGGATTGTCTAGATACCAGGTTTGGTAAAAGCAATTCTCCAGCATCGATTAATGGTTTGACCGCTGCAACCAAAATGTTACTTAGTAAAATTATATATGTATATTGTAATATTTGATAAACTATGAAAACAAACCTCCACTTTTGTTCTTCAAGTATTCAATAGAACTTTTAGCTTCTTCGTGGTATGGAATAATTGCTAAACAATCTTGATAAGCTTTTCTGGCTTCATCATATTTATGATCGTCCTCATAGCTTCGACCTAAAGCGACTAATGTTTCTCCCATATATTTTCTTGCATTAGCATGACCAGGATTTAATTTCAATGCGTTTTCGAAGTCTTCTATGGCTTTCTTAAAGGATCCTGAAATAATAATATAAAATAAATATTTTAATTTCAAAGAGATATATTTATATTATAAATAAAGTGATAATAAGTGAATAATAAATTAAGTGATATTTTGTGAAACTGGTATTACCTGTATTAGCATATAATGCACCCCTTGCAACTAATCCTTCTACATTTCTTGGATCTATAGAGAGAGCTTTATTTAGGCAACCAAAAGCTTCAGTATGCCGATTGGATTTGAAATGTTCAATTCCTTCAGCAACAGAACGGAAAGCCCATTTACTTGCCTGAGCCTACACACAATATGGATATATTAACATTTGTATTTTACTACATATCACTAACATTAGAAGAAAGTAATGAATCAAAAATTATATTAAAATTATTAAATATAATGCATTGCAAAATGTTTAGTATAATACCTGTCGTAATTCATTAACATATTCCTGCTGAGGAAAACGTTTTCTGAAGGCTTTCATATTTGAATGATTTTCTGATCCAAGGCCCAAAATATCAGATAGATATTGAATGCAAGTTGGATTGTTGAATCCAGGACATTTTGAAAGCATTGCATGGTAAGTCTCCCCTTTTGCATCAAGAGCTTTCCTAACATAAAAACAGTTAATAGAATAAAATTTAAGTTCTACGATTTGGATTTCATGCTAAATAAATTTGGCACATTGTAGTATTTGCATCAAGCCCTTCAATTGTTATTAATTATGCAATATAGGTCATAAGTTTTGATTTTTGCCATTGTATGTTGAACCATAAACACTCTTGGTGATACATTCTGTATTAATTTCTCTTTTGAGAAAAGATTGTTGAATATTCATAAAACTTTGCTATAAAGCTGCTTAGACAGAGACTTCTACTGAGATAAACAAATCTACAATTTGAAGATTCAAATGTAAAAGATCGAATATTATTGTAATAAAAATATATTTAAAAACCAAGTTTTATAAAACATGTTTCAAAAGACAATGCATCTTAGTTAATTCCTCACCTTCATTTTTGCTAGAGATATAAAACGACCATGAATATTTTATGTAATGAGCATCAAATAGTATCATTTTTTCAACAAGTCACAGAGTTAGCTCTTATCAGTATATTTGGATTGTATTTTATTTGAAAGTCAAATAGATCAAATAGAAATTTGCACATGTTGCACATCAGATTTGCAAATCTAATACCTGAAAAGTTAACTAAAAACGGCCCTAACCCCACTGGCATATTTCATTATCCATGGATTTGAGCATTTTTCAATTCTCATTTTGTTTAGTTATCCATTTTATCAGAATATTTTCATTCCTTCTGTTTTATAACATATAGTGTATGATTTTTCATTAAACATAAATATTTAGTATTGGGCTTTCTGCAATATTAAATAAAATCATTTAATACTAGCAACATTACATTTAAATGCGCAAACATTTGAAACATTTTTGAGAAATAATTGTGAGCTTATGGAAAATATGAACAAAAAAAATATATACAATATTTGGTTGTTCAGTAGGTGTAGCACATATTGAACAATTTCATTTAACGTCATACAATGTAAATAAAACAAACTCATACTAGAACAAACTATATGGAATATTTTGTATCAAAATAATTACCAACACACCTCAAAGTATTTTGTGAAACTAGAAAACATTTTGAATAGTTTGTTGTTCAAATGTTGTAAATTGATTCCCAAGTTAGTTCTATAAGAAATTTTAAATTGATGAGTACTAAAAATAATTCTCTGAACATACTTGTACATATTAGGATAGTCATCGGCATGAATTAATCCAAGGGGAGGAGCAGTTGGGTCTTCAGTATGGCGCATTGACCCCTTCATGCCTACGGACATTTTATCGGTGTCTGGAATTACTTCTAGAACCTCACAAATGACAGTATCGTTTACGGCATAGCCACGTGTAGTATTCTTCTTCACATCGAAAGCTGGTATTGTATTTGACATAGAACAGAATGCCTGTCATAAGATAAAATATTGTTTAAGTGTTTATTGTAAATTTTCAGTTGATGTGAAAGTATGTAAATAAATAAATAGAGCGAGCAAACACAAATTAAGAATAAAACAGAAATCATGATGAGCTAACTATGTACAAATGTATTTCTTGGAATTTTTGATCTTTTGTGGAATCTTACTAATGAATAATCATTTTGAATTATTTGAAAATCAGTAAACACTTACCTTGACATTAATATCAGCAACAAATCGACAACTAGAACCTTGGCCAACTGTACATAAAATCTTGAGAAGCATCCCTGAAGTACTTTTGTTAATAATGGTGCCCATAACTAAATCACCAGCCTTTACAACCTGCTTAACAAAACTCTTTTAGAAAGGAATATATAACAGATTAATTCAAATAAAGCAAAATAAAAATATGTAGGAACTGCAGAATATCAATTCAAACCAAAATAAAATAACTCAAACTTATTTAAGTGGTTGAATTAACATTTGCACTGAAATATTAATATAGAATACCTTCTAAAACCTTCAACATACATAAATGTTCAATATGGTTTTATTTATCATTCGAACATTGATATTATACCAATATATTTTATTACATCAATTGTCTCTAAAGGTAGCACTTTTTTACAAACATTATGCAATATATGTATATGTATGTTTTCATTCTTCACAAAACATAGCGTTTCATTCAACATATAAAAAAAAAACTGCAGACAAATATAAATTCTCGCATTTAATACCTAAAGAATAAAAAATCATGTCAAATAAAATAGTTGGAATATTAATAATGTAAGATTTTCCCACTATTTATATATTGAATATATGTAAACTTTCCCAGCATATGCTGTTACAATCATGTTTGTAAAAATACTCATGAACCAATTTCAAAATTCACCTCAAAAAAGTGCCTTTGCCTATTTGTTTTATCCATGTTCATAAATAGTTCAAATGGTGGGAGCACCGCATATATCTCTGAAAAAACATTGAACTGTATTAGTATTTTACTTCTGACATAAAATATTTATAAAATTGTTTATATCACTAAAATCAGTGTTAATATCCACATTAAATGCAAAATCAATTATTAACCTATGTTGCGAATATATTATAGACCAATTCAGATTTGGAAATAATATGGTATTACCTAGGTACATTCATACAATATTTAACAACAATTACTACGCATTAATTACTAGCACAATTACTAGTATGACTGTAAATTCGTTGAAATTAATTAAATTTTGTAAAAAAAAACATGCTGAAAATCTAATTTCAAATCACGTTTAAATAAACAAAATTTAATAGATATATTGAGAAAGAAGGCCATGATTACAACAAAGATCGACCAAATTCATATATGCTGTCGGTAAAGATGTTTATAAATACACATTAATTGAGAACTGAAAAATAATTTTAGAATGTTCATAACCCTAATTACATAGAAAAGTTAATACAAAAAATTACAGTATTTTTATTATTATATATAATAAATTTCATATATATACACAGTAGAATCTCACTAATCTGGCACTATTAAAAACCAGAGCACCCAGGTATAGTGGAATGTTCGGATTACTAGATTATAGGAAAAATGTTATAGACGCTTTGTTTATAATAGTATAAACAAATACAAACATTTATTGCGACCATTTAATTGTATAAAAAACTATAATGCATTAAAATTAATTTATCACAATGATATTATTAGATTTTTTTTTGACATTCACAATAAATGAGAATATTTTTTTGTAAAAAATAAAAGAATGTATTTCATAGATGGATTAATGTATTTTTGTAATATTTCAAAAACAGGGGAGGTGAATTAGCTTACAAGTGTCGATATCATAAAAAATGATCGAGAGTTTGTAGTAAATAATTTTAAATAATATAATATCGTAATAGATTGTGCATATGTATATATACTCCTTTTCATATATTTTATGAAAAATCAATAACCACCGAGTTAACTATTAAGAAGTTTAAAACCCTATTATAACACTCAAGTATTAATGACGACATTTTAAATGTAAAAATGTTTGGTAACTTACTTTCACTGTCCTTGTCATCGATTTTAGGCTTTTCAGTAGGAGTCAAATCTTGTAGCAAATCGACATCGAATAAAAAACTAGCTTTCTTGGCTATAAACTGCTGCAGTTTCAATCTCTTTCCCCGGTCTTGAAAACTTAAGAATTTTTGCCTAACTTGATATTCTGCATAATCAGGTGTGGGAACGCCAATTTTATATAAATCATTTTCGCCACGTTCGCTCTCCCATATTTTCTGTAGTTGTTGTCCATGATAATTTAAGGATTTGGCTATTAAAGCCGCGGATAATTGCGTCTCCATTTCCAAATATTAGTAATATCCTAGAGAATGGACATGTTTGTGAGGCATAAGATAAAACGCCGATACAAAATGGCGCTGAAAATGATTAAATGACGAGCTTTTGCTTACCTAAAATATTAAGTATGTCCTCACGATCACGTAGCTCTAATATCATTTCTAATTTCATCAATAATTCAATTGTTGCGGTACATGCCACAACTAATATTTAACACTTTTCACTACTTCTCATGCGTATATTATATTTAACACTAGCCTGTACAAGTCTATAACAAACACTTCTTCTTCAAACACCATCAACTGTGCGACTATCGATCGGAAAACTGTGTTGCCAGATGCCACCTAAATGCACGATGTACAACATAACAAACTTAAAATATTAATCATTTAGCGCAATTTAGCGTAAGATGGCAACATAACCTATCTAACCAATTTTTATTTCTTTGTTTACATTTTAACGTCAAAATGAATGTTAATCAAGTTTTTGTTTTTAATATTATTTTACCTTTAACACGTCGTGTACTAATCTGCAAATAATACTTGAAATACCAAAATTGCTACTAAAATATTTTTCATAATGCCCGTTACAGAATATTTTTGAGGTTATGAAGACTTTTTAGAACATTGATCATATAAAAGTTATATATCTCTTCAAAAATAATTTGCTATTGCCCATATTTATTTGTAATCTCTATCATTTTTATTATAAAATATTTGTGAAATTCTCTTAAAAGAGAAATTTCTATCAAATATGTTGCACTTAGGAAAAAGAAACAATCCATTTCCTTGTTTCATATCACCGACTATAGCAAATCAATTGAAATATCATCAAATTCAAGGTTTGAGATTTTTGTACAAGAACTTTATAAATGTGTGTAAGAAAAATGTAAATATATATATAAGCCCTATAGTAAGCATTTGTAATAGTACGTTCTGTGTTTGTACAGTAAATTACAACAATTGCTTACTTTTGGGTTGCTGCTATAATATTAACTTATTCAACTATTTAATATTTTATTCAGGATCAAGGAATAATTTTAAATGACGCCGAAGGGCTAGGGAAACGAGTCACAATTGCAGCTTTATTACATGCTTTCATAACAAACAGTTCTAAAATAATCTCTTCAGTGTTAATTTTGTGCATGAGCAAATCTCAAAGCGAAAAATGGATGTACATATTGCACACGTTTGCGGGACTTGAAACTATCTCTGTATCTGATTTTGGTATTGATCTATATAAGTATTTTCATAGTTATTTTAGTTATTGAAACATTTTCTTAAAGCTATTACTATAAGACAAAATGCCTGATTGATTGATTTACATGACACAAAATAAAAATTAGTTTATGTAGCTATACCTGCACTCCCTCTTGAATTAATTGCATCAACTGCGAAGCATTACAATACTTACCATTAGTATATTTGCTTGCTAAAACTGAAAACAAAATAATCAACACATATATTTTATTTACTCTTCATTCAATTCATCCAAACATTCTATATCATTAATATATTATTAACCTTACATAAACTTGGGATTATTATAAATTTAAGTTTTAGAACAGATATTTTGCAACTTTTTATATTTCAGAAAAATTGAAAAAAGGAATTGTAATAGAGTGTATAAAATCTAGTCATTTTGAATTAAATTGTAATTCTTCTTTCAAAGACTTCAATTGTGTTATATTGGAAGTGACCGATTCTATTAATTGGAATATGTTAAAAAAAATAATGTGTCCCGTAAGAACTCGAAAAAAAATAATAGTTACTGATACGAAGTTACGTGATGACTTACTAAAACTTTGGTCTTGCATTAGCTGCATAGATCCTGAACTGGCGGGAGATCAGTCATATTTTCTTCAGAAATTTGAGTAAATATGTTAGAATTGATATTTAGTGAATAATGTAATACTTTTCTAAGATATTTTTTTTTATAGACACAAAGATTTCAAATATGAAATGATTTTATCTGCCAGATTACGAAATATTTTATTAAGAAGAGAACTAAACGATATAGATTATAAAGATTTTCCAATAGTCGACGAAAAGGTAATACATAAAGATGTATAATATATTATATAGACATTTTTACATTTAGTATTGGTTTCAAAAGATCTATAATTTTTTACCTCCCTGACTAAATTTTACATCTTTATCCATTATTTCGAATGCGAATTCAACATAACATATCACTACTAATGTAAAGGTAAAATTTAAAACGTAAAACAGGCCAAATATTTCTATGGTAGAAAAATCATTGCTACAACTGATGAAGTTTTTCATTTTCATTTTACATTTTACGAGTTAGAGTAAACTTTCTTGTGCAGCATCAATACTTTTCAGGCAATTATTGAATTTTCGCTGGCTTTCTCAGAGTCTCATTTCTCTTTGATAAACCCAATATAGACTTTATCTAAATATAACAATAGGACAATAAGCATATAAATGTAAATAGTTAACCATTTTCTTATCTACGTAATTAACTATAATTATTTCATTAATTTTTATTTATATCTGGGTTAGGTAACTGAAATGGAGTATAAAGCATGGAAAAAAAATAAACAATTCAAATTAGTATTATCAGATTCACAATCCAGTAATTCAACCAGTGATAATAGTCAAAAGAGCAGTACAGATTCCGATACATTCAAAATACCTAACTTACCTTCTATTAACAATGAAGATGAGAATGTTTCCAATTCTATAGCTACAAATAATAATATAAAGCATCTTACTTATGTTGTTTCTACACCATTGTCAGATGAATCAATTATGCCTGAAAACGATGGCATTCAAAGCCAAAACACAAGTAATTCCAAAAAAAGTTTCCCCAAAGATATTGTATCAGCACGAGTAGTGTCTCCATCAGATTACACTTCAGATGAAACTTTTGAAGCCTTGAGTTTGATATTTCCAATAACACAAAATTGTAGAAAAAGGAGATCACCAAGAAAAAGAAAAGCAGAGACTCATCGATGGCTAGCATGCTCAAAAGATAAAATTTTAAATGAGAAAATTGATTTAATGCTTAGTTCTGATGATAGCAGCTCCGAATTAAGTCGTGAGGTTATAAATCATAACACTAGTGCTAATAAAAGCATTGATCAAAGTGATAATGAAATTTCAATTGGTTCTAAAACCAATAATTCAATGTGTTCAACTATATACCAAAGAAATAACAAAGTACAGATAAGTGAGACTGAAAGCATCTTAGAAAATATTTTTTTCTCCTGACAGAACTATTATAGCTAGCGACATCATAGACAGTTTAGTTTCCATTATTTTCACTAATAATTTAATTAATAGGTGATTTTAATCTTAAATTGGGCACTATGAGAACACCCTAATCCAATTTATATATTATCAACTATTTTTAATATTGCTAGTTATATTTGCAATTAATGGAAAAAAAATTATACAATTTTATTATATGTATATTTAATGAATACACATGAAATAAATAGTTTCATTTCTATTAATAACAACAATTTTTGGTGTACTTATAGTTATATCTTGGAAATGGAACAGTGAAATTCTTGTTTATAACAAATTGTTCAAATTGCGAAATGCATTTTATTATTTGAGATCAAATCACTGTAGTGAATTTTTAATGTAAGATAAATGAACAGTGATTATTTAATCATTTGAGTTCATTATTTTTTGATAAATTAGTCAATTTTTGTAGTAAATAAAGTATAATTAAAATTGCTGATCAATTTATTGCGTTTTGAGTTTCAAAGTTTAGAATTTTTAATATGTACTATTATACAAATTTCATAAATTTTGCTATTTAAATATATTCAATAATTTTATATACTGTATTCATTATAATATGGATTTGAAAATACTGCTCGTATTGCACACAAGTACCTTGAAGTTAAAAAAAAATTATTATAATATTCTGTATGAAGATCAATATGCCCACATTACATGGCAAAATAATAATTTGCATACTTTAACTAAATCTTGTTAATTTAATTAATTGACAATTGTTCAATGAATATAATGTTAAAACATCCGATATTTTAAAATGGAACATTCAAGAAAAATTATTATAGAGATATTCTTTCAGAAACATAGAATTTTGTAACATTATAATCGTTGATAGTTGATTAATTAAATGGGCAAGATATATTTAACTTGTACTGATTGTTAATATGTTACAAATTAAATAGGTTTACTACAGTTTTTATTACGATATTTAAAACATTTGGGAATAATGAAGATACTATAAACTATCTTTTCTTTTGTATGATATATATATATATATATATATATATATATATATATATATTTATTTGTAATATTTTTGCAGCCCAAACGTCAAATTAAAAAAAAGATTAAATAACAAAATTATTTATTCCATTAAACGTTTCGATACTTGATGTGTGTCATCATTCAGTAATCTAAAAAACATAACATAAATACAAAGTTGATCATAAATATAAATATATAAAAAGGAGGAAATTATACATACCAAACCAGGAAAAACAACAGAATAAATTAATTATGATGTAAAACTGATTGAACACTAAGTTTGTGTAAATTTTACATCTTACAAAAAATGATAAAAATTCATAGTGTGGACAAGTTAGATGTATAAATGTTAGTGCTAATTTCTAGTGTTGTGTACACATCTTAGATGTAACCTACCAACATTAATATCCACTGATGATGACATTAAATTGAATGTCGAAACGTTTGGAATTAAAGATTAATTTATAAATTTTTGCTTTTTATTTTTTGATGTATCGCCCCACAAGAACTTATATATATATATATATATATATATATATATATATATATATATATATATATATATATATGTATATACATATAATGTATATATACCAAAACATTCAATTTGTGTTCAATTGTTAAAATAGTTGTATTTTAAGTCACATATAAAATTATTCTAATTCTTAATACAAGATAATAATCTCTAAAATTAATTATTTCGATGATAATTTTCAACAGGCTACTACTTAAAAAATCATTATATTACTTTGTTGTGAGCTTAAATTTCCTTTCCAAGTTATAGATCATTAGCAAAACTCTATTTAAACCCAGGATATGTCTCTTTAATTAATGTTATAGTTTTAATTTAATATAGTAAAATTAAATGTTAGAACATTTATCCACATAATGTGCTGCAGGAAAGAAGCAGCTCCTAACACAATAATGTATTGATCGATTAAGAATAGTGCCATCAATATGTTACAGTCTCTCATTGCAAAAGGCTTTAAAAACGCAATACCATAAATTTTTCTTATAATCTAAACATCAAATAGATTTAAAATTGTGATTATAAATTCATTACTGTACACTACTAGCGATATATAAAAAATATTGCATCATAAAATAAACATGACACAATCATTCTAAATTTTATATTACATTATATATTTTAAAGTTTTACTTCAAAAACAGAACACTTACATTATCACTTTTAAAACAATCAAATTTTCTTCATAGAGAACAAAAGTGTATGCTAAATTGTGAAATCACATATAGACGTAGATAACATTTGAGCGAGTATACTATATAAACTATAATACCTTAAATATTACATATATTGCGAATCAATTTATACCGTGAGTGTACATTTGTTTTACAATTATGAAGACTAACAAATGTAAAATATAACATTAATAATTTCAAACAATAAATGATAATTATCTTTCAATATGACAAAAGGATGTGCAAATTTCAATTACAAATAGCTCAACAACATTAGGAATACATCTGAATTATTTTCTATAAAAAATTATGAGCAGGATTATAATCAGTCTCTCCAAAGATCTTCTTGATCCTCATTCTTGAAGTGTCAATTCCGTTTGAATTATTAATACAATACTAATGAAGTCAATAATAAAAAAAATTCTTATTCATAACAGTTCACGCTTGTATCATATACTTATGGCAGTTCAATGGAAATGATTCTTTAGTGTTGCTCAATTCACGGATGGAGATCTGTCGCTACTAGAATAATATAATCAATGTGAGCATACTAGATATGTATAATAATGTTTTGAATTAGAAAAAAACCTGATAAGAATCAACTCGAATCGAGCTTATATAATATATGGTAAAAAGTCGAAAGGCCTCAACGATGTATTAAAAATGATTTACATTTGAAGTAGGTTGAAAAAAAACAATAGTCAGAATCTTCGGTCATTTGATAGAATGTTTATTTTACTTATCTAAACGGAGAGCTGTATGTTATGTTGTTTGCTTTATATGATAAGTCATTATTACATATAGTATCAAGTAAAATGTGATTCCAATCAGGTTGTTTTAAGTGCTTGATTCGAATTATTTAAATCACTTGATTTGAGTTGGCATATCACTAATATATATATATATATATATATATATATATATATATATATATATATATATATTGAATTGAATAAAACAGCCAATGCGTTGAATGTAGAAATGTATATTTTAAATTTTTATACGTTTTGAGACTAGATGTGCCTCATCATTCAGCTAAAAGAAATTAACAATATAAGGAAAAGTTTTAGAATTAAAAATATAACAGACAAATTAGATTATACATACCAGCAGATCAGGAAAAAACACATGTTCTAACACATGTAGTAATTTGTCTAATTGTTATATTTTTAATTCTAAAACTTTTCCTTATATTGTAAATTTCTTTTAGCTGAATGATGAGACACATCTAGTCTCTAAACGTATATAAATTTAAAATAAACATTTCTACATTTGATGCATTGGCTGTTTTATTCAATTCAATATGTTTCAACGTCGAACAAAAAATCCTCGATATATATATATATATATATATATATATATATATATATATATGAGTAAGTTCTTCAAGGGCAATACATCAAATAAAAGGCAAAGATTTTATGTCATCATCAGTGGATCTACAGAATGAACATTGAAAAATTAATATAAACTAGGAAAAAATGACAGAAATTGGAAAAAGAACAATAGATACAAGTATTATAATTATAACAATAACAATTATAACTAAACAGATAGACAAACATAAGAAATGAAAAGTAAAAAGAAATATATACAAACATACAAAAGAGTAATATATATATATATATATATATGTATATATATATATATATATATACATAAATATACACATAAACAGACATATATATACGACATATATGTACAGACACGTACATATATACACATATATATACACATAATACAGTATATATATATATGTATATATATATACACATATACATACATAAATACATATATGCATATATACATATATATAAATACATATATACATATATACATATATATATATATATATATATATATATATACATACATATACATATACACATATATATACACATATATAAACAACAAAGGTAACTTACATTATTAAGGTCTTAAATCAGTAACTAGCGTATGACACATAATTTTGCACTATCATATATACCCTAACGTGTTTTTTGTTTTTGTTGAACAGAGCATAGCAAAATATTTGTGAAATATATATTTTGCACGGAAAAAGTAGTTTATGTGTACAATCCCGAGGCAGTTGTGACACATGTGCTTGAAAATTATTTGGAGAGACCGTTCAAAGGATAAGTTGGCGAGTTTTTTTACAATCAGTGTTTCGAAGTATGGGTGAAGAGGCTAAGATTCAAAGTTAGGGATCGGACCGCGTAAGGGTAGTTTTACAGGTTCGGAATTACGCTAGTTAAGAGGAAACAAATTTGGAAATGTTATTGAATATCACCTGATAATTTTCACAGAGTAAGGAGGCATCACACCTTTTATTAATGCAAGATCTATTGATGCTGATTAGACAGGATTCAGCAAACTTTCTCTGAATAATGTTGCGTTCATTAAATTCTGTCCAGTTTAATAAAACGACTAAAACAACATGATAATAACTCAAAAAATGCTCGACAAAGTCAAACCATGATAACAGAACATATTAAAAATTTTAAACATTCTTTTAACTTTTACAACGCTAGTATACTTTATCACGAACGGAACATTATTCAGAGAAGGTTTGCTGAATCCTGTCTAATCAGCATCAATAGATCTTGCATTAATAAAAGGTGTGATGCCTCCTTACTCTGTGAAAATTATCAGGTGATATTCAATAACATTTCCAAATTTGTTTCCTCTTAACTAGCGTGATTCCGAACCTGTAAACCTACCCTTACGCGGTCCGATCCCGAATTTTGAATCTTAGCCTCTTCACCCATACTTCGAAACACTGATTGTAAAAAAACTCGCCAACTTATCCTTCGAACGGTCTCTCCAAATAATTTTTAAGCACATGTGTCACAACTGCCTCGGGATTGTACACATAAACTACTTTTTCCGTGCAAAACATATTATATTTCACAAATATTTTGCTATGCTCTGTTCAACAAAAACAAAAAACAAGTTAGTGTATATATGATAGTGCAAAATTATGTGCCATATGCTAGTTACTGATTTAAGACCTTAATTATGTAAGTTACCTTTGTTGTTTATATATGTGTATATGTATATGTATATGTATATGTATGTATATATATATATATATATATATATATATATGTATGTATATATGTATATATGTATATATATATATATATATATATGTATGTATGTATATATGTATATATGTATATATGTATATATGTATATATATATATATATATATATATATATATATGTATGTATATATGTATACTCGTATATGTATATATGTATATATGCATATATGTATTTATGTATGTATATGTGTATATATATACATATTAGGTGTATATATATGTATATATGTACGTGTCTGTACATATATGTCGTATATATATGTCTGTTTATGTGTATTTTTATGTGTATATATATATATATTACTCTTTTGTATGTTTGTATATATTTCTTTTTACTTTTCATTTCTTATGTTTGTCTATCTGTTTAGTTATAATTGTTATTGTTATAATTATAATACTTGTATCTAACGTTCTTTTTCCAATTTCTGTCATTTTTTCCTAGTTTATATTAGTTTTTCAATGTTCATTCTGTAGATCCACTGATGATGACATAAAATCCTATGTCGAAACGTTTGGAAAAAAAAAGATTAACTTCAAAATCTTTGCCTTTTATTTGATGTATTGCCCTTGAAGAACTTACTCATATTTCTCAACATCAAAACTAAGTTCTTTAACTTGGAAAACAATATCAGATCTATTTTTTTTTTACAAAATCAAAATAATACACTATATAAAATCTTATATTCTAAACAAAAATATCAAACAAAAAAATCTTACAATATTTTAGGCTTAAGCAAATAATTTGTAAGATAAGACTTTATATACAAAGCTATTATAGCATGATCAAGAAAAGATAAATGCATATGAGAAGCATAATGCTTCACTGTATATTTAACTTATCTGCGCAAATATACTTACCCAGGTCCTGGATAATAGTAAGGCGGTGGTCTCTCGTACTCAGAAGGAGGCAGTGGCGGACTATGGTAACGTGGCGGAGCATCTTCCGAGTAATCATCCCATTGCCTATAACATAATCATATATAAAAAAAATCGAAGATCATTATTAAATTTTAACGATCATTGATGAAGATCGATGTTGCAACAACACATTAAGCAAAAGCGGCAATAATTCTCTACCAAACCTGATAACTATCCATAATAAATGTAATTATTCCATCACAATTGTTAACCATAGTTAACCAGCTGAAAACTTTATATAAACCACTTCATTATAAAGCTAAATTATTATTGATTACTTATACTTCTCCCACAAAACAACGAACATCGGCTTTTTGATGAAAGATCAAATCTAGATAATAAAAATAGAAACAAAAGCATGAACTTATGAGAATAGTATCGCATGAAGGCAGTCAAAATAGAAACAAAATTGATCTTGCAAATAAACTCAGCCCTTATCAATTATTCTTATATGATGATATTAGACATTCAATATTAACAGTTGCGCACCGTATAGCACGATTAAAGCATGCTGACTTATACTCTGATTCTATGAAACCACTCCGCATGTGGGGAAAAATTCGTAAATAATTTGCTTAAAATATTATTTCAAATTTTCTGTTAAGAATTCATGCAAACCTAAAAATGAAAAACCTAATTAGCACCCTCCGATGCGCTTGATTCCCTATTTTTTATAACGTCACGTAATATAATTGTTTAAAATTCATTTAAATTAAATTACATTTAATTGCTTGAACTTTCCAATGCAAGAGTTTTCTTACCAGAAGTTTGCATTCAATATTTTAGCAAAATATTCATATCATAATAGTATTACCAAAATGACCCTTTTGCAGACAACTTACATCAGCACATCAGAAAAATTTTAATTTATTATCAAAACATACCCCCTCTAAATACAAAATGTAACTGATTTACATATGTTGGACACCCTCATATTGGGTCCACCTTGTTGAAACAGGGTCCACATTTTCAACAGGTTTTGGACTAATATTATCTGTCGTATATATGGAGTCTTCAGCTTCCTGATGCCTATGTTTTCATAAAGATTTAATATTTACATAAAGTACTTCCCTTCAGAGAGAAAAGTTGTAGCACTATGCGCAATGTGAATTTTAAATAAGAAGGATAATTAATTATTAGATTCTCTTCCTTTTTCTATTACTATGAAAAGCTAAATTAATTTAATCCAAAAGAACTGTTATTGAATAAGTAGTAAAAATAGTAATCAACACGCGTGGTGCAAATAATTAATAAATAGATGTTTATACACCATAACAGAAGTGAATCAGCTTGAAAAAAAAAGACAATTAAAATAAATCACTTACTTTCTGGCCATATCTGTATAGCGATGGTCATGAGAAGCAGATGGTCCCTGAGAACTCGATTCCCTTTGTCCATGTCTATCATGTTTTTTATTATCCTTGCTGCGACGTTTGCTTTCTGGTGGGCTGGCACAAAAATTAAACCAAAATTAAAAATAATCAAATACAATATAGAAAAAATGATGATATAAAGGTAACACAAAATATGTAAATGTTAAATATGTTTATATTATACTAATGATAAATTGTAACCCCCAGAGCAAAAACGACATGATCTGTACTGAGCAAGCTGATACGACAAATTACAGTCGTGGAAAATAATTGAATGTTGATATTATTTTTAATTACAACAAAATATTTGAACGATTTTTCTTTTAAAACTATAAACATAAAGTCACCTGATAAAAATAAGCATATTTTATGACAAAAATTTCAATTCATGGGGTTACAACTTACTGTTTTCAATGTGCTCTCACCTTGTTAAAGAAATATTATCACGATCAGCGTAAGCATCATATAAATATTCCCTAAAAACAATTAGTCTGTTAGCAAGTATAAAGGACACAAATACCACAATTAATATAATCATTAGTTACAACAAAGCATAAGAAAATAGTAAGAACTATACTCACGACTCGACTAGAGGACCTGGATAAGGATCAGACTTCTGATATAATCCAGATAGTTTGACGCTTAAAATAATGCATGGTATAAAGAGCAAAATGCACCAACCTAGACCAGCCCAGAATCCATTCTGTGAAAATAGAAAATAGTATATTTTATCTAAATAGATCCGATTTGTGTAAGTAATCAAGTTAATCATTAATAATTGGATTATATATATATATATATATATATATATATATATATATATATATATAGTAGAATGTTTCTGCTTATCTACTTTTATACCAGTCCAGCAATCTATCTTTGTATCTGCCTATCTACTTACCTGTATCTTTGTATCTGTCTATCTGCCTACATGTCCATTTTCATAACTGCCTTCCGTCCTACTATTTACCTGTGTATTTTTCTATCAGCCTACCTATCAATATGTATATACCTGTTCATATGCATGCCTGCTTATCTGGCTATCTGCCTACCTATCAATATGCATATACCTGTCTATCTGACTATCTTTTTACCTATATACCTGTTTATCTGTTTACTTGTATACCAGTCTACCTATCAACTTGTATACCAATCTATTTGCCTTCCTTTATCTATCTCTCTGCATATATCTCTATATGCTTACCTGTTTTTCTATAGCTTTGTCTACCTATCTACATGTCTACATGTCTCTCTATTTACCTGTCTACTTGTAAAGTAAAAACTAAATAATCAATTCATCAACATAGTAATTAGTAACATTATAACCTTCCCGTGGCCATCACAAAGTCTTAGCTTGGCAAAGTACTGAATTTAAATCCAATTAGTTAGCACCATCTTGTACTTATTAGTACCAATGAGCAGGGCTAAAACATAAAAATAATAGAAAAAATTAAACTTACGAATGGATCCAGTACATTGTTGCAAACTGCAACAAGGGTTGATTTGTATGCAACAGACAGAGGCCCACATTGACCAACATTGTTTTTGGTCTCGTTCACTACATATTTGAGATAGTTTCTGATGTCTTCTTCAACGCTGGTTACCACTTCCTCCACCATCTAAAAAGACATACGTTTAATTAATAATACAATTACCTTTTGGTCTACTATTCTGTATTTTCACAATTGCTCTCATACAAACATATGATCTTAATTAGAACATAAAATTTTTAACTTACTTACTCATTAAATTATTATTCACTTACTCATTAAATCTAGTACTGATTTACTGCTCACTTACGCATTTACACATTAACTCACGTACTCACTCACACTCACTTAGTCTCTTACTCATTTTTGCAAATACTCCTTACTCATTTGCACATTTAATCATGTACTCACATACTCACTTACACGATTACTTACTCATTCACTTGCTCAATTACACACATACTCGCTTACTCGCAAATTCATTTTCTCACTCACTCACCAATTTACTTAATAATTTACTCACTTACAAATATATTAACTTACGAATTTTCTAACTTAGTAAGTAACTCATCTACTAACTCAATAACATAATGAATTCATCGCTTACTTACTCACTTATTCGCTTATTTACTTACACTGGTGTGTATTACAATGATTTGAAAATGTACTCACAATTTTAACAAACGATGGTCCTTCCTCTTGTAAATATTTTTGCGCTACTATAATCTGCTCCTTCATCTGGCGAATTGCATCCGAGAATGAATCCGTGTTGAACTTCAAAGATATTTCTAAATCGGTAGCCACAGTCTGCAATAAATAATCATGAGGATTAAATAAAAATGAAGTTTTTTTACTTACCGTTTCTTAGGAACTAATTATATATTATAAACAATAATTTAATCTTGTTTACATATTGTTATAAGTACCTGTAAATTGAAAGTTTTCTCAACTAAAGGATCAACAGAATCCTTTTGAATTGCTTTTAACTTTGAAGACTGAAACCTCAAATCACGGGCAATTTGAGGATCAATCCTTTCAATTACAGCGGCTGCTTCAATTAATTTATCGGCGAGCTCGTTCAGATTCACGCTGGTAACATTAGTTGATAACTAGAAAATAAATAATATTAAATTTTAATATATAATCAAGCATCATCATTTATTACAAATGAATAGATAGATTGAAAGAATATAATTTTATAGAAACTCAAAGACTGTACTAAACACGAGCATAATCATGTATATGAAAGATCACGAAGCTGCCGAAGTCAAAATTTTGTTGATAATCAAGCCATGTTGTTGTTGTTACTATTTATTTTTATACAGTATATAAATTTATATTTAATCATATCTCTTAAAAAATTAATACCGTACTTAGCCAAATGTAAATATCTATATACCTAAAAATACCCAAATAATGAATTAGACATACTGAAAGATTTAAAAGCATAAAAGAATATGAGTGAAATTTCTCATCATATCTAAACATTTCTAGAATAACCTACTATAAAGCTGTAGGTTATTCTAGAAATATTTAGATATGATGAGAACGTTAGCTAGATATGCCGATTATCTGCATATCTAATACCATTTGTTTCATTTAATCTCCTGGGATTGAAAAACTAAATCACTTTCAGATACTTATTAAAAATACTACTCATCACAGCATTCAGAATTTTACATTTATGTAAATAATAGAATAGCCTACAATTTGCTTACTAATCAACTACTTACCGTATGATTGTATTGGTAAAATTTGAAGTCATTCAATTGGCTTTTCTCCAACTTTTCTAATTGATCTAATCCATTTTGCGAGATGATGCTTACACCCGAATCCAATTTGAAATCATTGAGCATATTTTTGAGTTGCAGGGAAATCTCAAAACGATCAACGTATCCTAACAAATCATCAATGCTGCCACCACTTAGTACAGAATCCAAACTAAAAACCTGAAATGAATAGAAATGTCTTAAAATTCATATAAAATTGATTAAGGCAATTGAATAAAATAAAGGTTTTCATCTGATGACTTCCACATATAAAAGTACTATCTGTCGCCATAAAATGTATATTAAAAATATCCTTGGCTATAATTACTATCACAACATATTAGTGCTATCAGATAAATTATATATTTTAATACTTTTATTAATACATCTTTCCCCGATGTGTATAAATAATGAATTTAATTATTATTAGTTTGATTTGAATTGTTTTACTTGTCGTAGGTCCGTAATATGTCAGTATGTTCTTTAAAATCATGATCTCTATCGTCAAAAAAAGTTTTATAAAAACTACCAAAAACTGATCTCGTCGAGAAGTTAAAGAATGTAACTTACATTATAGGCTGATTCATTGTTGTGACATTTTTCAATGATCGTGCTAAGTTTCAATGCGCCAGGTGTCTTGACCCTCAAATTGGATCTTGAGTGTATTATTTGATCAAGATCAACAATGTCATCAATGATGCCAAAAATCTGGTCGTTCTGTGAATTTCTGAAAAAAAAAACAGATATTATATATATATATATATATATATAAACAAACACAAACACACACACATATACGTACACAACAGACACACACGTACACAAAAATATATTTTGTGTGTATATAACTAGTTGTAAGGGATATTTTGCCTTGAGGCAAACTTTGATTTGCTTAACCTATTCATCTTTCTACCTGTCCACCAGTTTACCTGTATACTAGTCTACTTACCAACCTTCCTACTTGTCTGCCTATCTATCTTTAGACCTGCTTATCTTTCTACCTGACCATCTTCCGACCTGTCCACTTATCGATCCTTCTACCTCTTTATTTTTCTACCTGTCTTCCTGTGTAATTTCGCACCTGTATATTTACTGGCCTACCTGCCTACTGTAGTCTTGTCTACCTTCATATATGGCTACCCGCCGTAAACCGGTAGAGGTATGGACTTCTACCTGTATATACAGCTTTTTGTCTATCCGTTTAGTTTCTATCTCTCTACTTGTCTATTTGTCGACCGGCGATTTCTGTAAACTAGAGGTGTATGGAATCGTGCCCTAACGGAAATTGCTAGAACTTCCCGTACCGTAATGAAATAAAATAAAATCGAGAAATATTAAATGTTTTCAAATAGATTATTATCAACACTAACTTTCATTATTCTTATTTCATAGACAAAATATAAGAGCTCATGAATTGGACGACGTCGTTTATAAATGCTTACAGAAAAGTATGTAAACATTGTCTAAGCATTGTCTAATAATTATGAGAATTATATCAAGTGATTGGCAAAGGTAAATTTTTTTATTTTTAAAATTAAAATCCAAATTATTTTCGATATTAAAAAAATTGGGAAATAAAAAAATGTTTTTTCTTTCTTTCTTTCTCAAAAGCAATTGTTTTGTCAACACAATCAGAAATGAATCATTCAAATCGGTTTATTAACTTTCAACACATGTTTAAGTAACAACATGAAAATATCATTTGCAATTTGATAAACCTAGATCAAACCGTTAAACTTTAAACGTTTCATTGCGATTGAAAAGAGGGCGTCCATTAATCACGTAATGTTTTTAGGGAAGGGGGCGTTTGACACAAAATCACAAAATATCACGTGGGGGAGGGAGATGTAAAGATAATCTTGATCGATAAAACAGGAAAGAGTCCTTATATTTTCTCATCTTATAATAGAAAAGCTAATTATTCAATGTATTAAAATAATTCTATATATAGAATATTTATATTTCATAAGAAACTTAGATAAAGAAAATTCAGAACAAACTTTCTCAAAAACCAAATCATCAGTTCAGATTCCAGAAAAAGGCTTTAACTGTTGGTTAAATTAAATAAAATGTTATAAATAAACCTTACTAAAATCTATTAAAATTAATCTTATACATCTCAGCTTACTAACTTTATGTTTTGTAGAGAACAGAAGGGACAAAAACTTAAAAAATATAATGCTGTTCGTAGAAATAAATAGTATAAATTATGAAAATTACTGTTCGGTTTGTACCTTTATTGGTTTTGTACCTTTATTGGTTTTGTACCCTTATTTTTTTATATGCTATGAAAATGTAAATAGAAGTTAGTCATGATCACAAAAATTATCAAATCTTATTTAAAAACTTTAGCAAATATGAGAATATACACATTTTGAATATAAAAAAATTCTTTGTAGGATTTTTTCTTTTTTGATATATTCAAACAAATTCAGTTCCACAAACAAATATGATTATTCTTCATAACAACATAACCGACATATTGCGTTGTATTAATAAAAACAATCATTCTCCAGAACAAATTTCTAAAAATAAGACTAATAGAAAAAGTCATCATTTGGATTTATTAATAAATTAAAGATTTAAAAATACTAGAAGCTCCTAATGCAACTCGCAAATAATATGAAACAAAATTATCATTTGTATCGGTTTTGTAAATGCTGGGTACATTTAAAATTATTAAATTGTATTTTCTATATAAAACTTTCTCATAAAAGAAATTTCTAAATTAAATAAGATTCATCTATTTTTTTCATTAGAAAAAATTGTAAAAATTTCTAACGTCCTGTTCTGCAGAAAAAATAATACAGTATAAAAAGTTTTTTTATAATTTGAAGTTAAAATGTATTTAAAGTTTTTTAGTAGTTTGAGTACTAATTTAAATCATCCATGTCAAATACTAAACAAATAGACAACATGAAATATTGAAGAATAATAAAACAGCTAAGTTGCACAATGAAGAGTGTAAAAACTAAAATTAACCATTCTTAAATGTAGTATTAGAAAACATATTAATACCAAGAATACTAATGACTGCATCAAAATTAAAATAATAAAAAAAGATTAAATATATTCATAACCAATATGAACTCAAAACTTCAAATTTATTAAAAAGTGAGTTATAAACATACAGTTTACCAAAAATCTATTTTACAGATTGGCACTTTCAGACTTTTATAAAAGTTTATTAAATTACATCCACTGTGTGAAAAATGATTAAAAAAAGTTATTCCTCGTCTAAAATAATATATAAAAATAAATTACTTATAAGTTGAGTTACATTTGTATCATAATTATAGTTTGCATAGTTCATTTTATAAAAATGTCGCACTAAAAATGTGTATCAATATCTGTTTAAAAAAAGAAAAAGGTAGTAAATATAAAATTACAGCATTGCAACAATATATTTAAAATGATTACAAAATATGTAATGCACATTCAGTTCTTCAAAAAAAATTCAGAGTTGGCGATTCGCTTTTTCCAACTTTGAAAGAATTATTGTCTCAAAAATAAAAGATTACTCAAAAAATCTCAGTAAACAAAGTATAACAATGTAAGCACACAGGATGAAATTAATTTTTAATGAATTCATTGTATTTAAACATCTTTTGTCCATATTTTAATTGGGAGAATACTTTTTAAATGAAATATAAGATTTTAATCATTCTAATTATGCATAATGGAAAATTTCTAGTTATTTCTAATTTCTCTTAATAATTAATTGATCAAATTATATATTTAATATATTCTACTTAAACAAAATCACATACTATAGGATGTTGTTGTTCAACTTGAGTTTTCAACGTATATTTCAAAATTAAGCATGTAAGTACAGAATGAACTAAAAATTACGAATAAAATTCATTCAATAAAAAAATAATAATTTGCTTGGGTGGAGCGACTAGGGCGGATGCTGAGCACGCCATAACAGGAAAAGGGTAGACAAGAACTATGGAGGAAAATAGTAAGGCAAAAAATATCCCCCCCAACCAATTTCATAACATTATTGACAAAAAAAAGAATATATGCTGTGCTATATAATTATATTCAATCAAATGAAATAAAACTGTGAAGATAACTTATAAATTTGCGTAGACAAATTTAGAAAGAAGTAAATACGATCATTTTTATTAAATATAGGTATAAGAAATTATGGTCACGTCTATTTCCCGTATTTAGCTTCAAATTATTTATAAGTACCTCTTTGTAAACATCAATTGAAATGTGTTAGTATATTTTTCGATTTGTTTGGAGCACTTTACAAAAAAAATCTGTTAATTATTGACAATAAAAAATTCCATGAAGAAATGGAAAAGTTGATAAAATAAAAGCCAAATCTCAGGCTGATATTTTTACTCACTAAAAAATAAATCATAAATAAATTTGATATTTGTCAATACCACTTGGGCTTGTTATCATTACCCTAGATGGTGTACAATGTTACAAATGACAGGTTTGACCAAAGTTTCATTTGAATTTAAAAGTTTTTAAAAACATTATATTTAAATGCTTTAAAAGAACATACTGTTTTAGATTATTTATATAAAATTAAATTGCTTTGAAAATATTAATAATAATCTTCAATATACGGTTGATCATTTTTATCATTATTTATTAATTGTATTAATTATTTTCATAATTTAATTGTTTGAGATATATTATTAATATTACATAAAAGTTGCAATTAGTTGGATAAATTTATAAAAAATTCTACATCGATAAAATAAGGATTAAACTATATAAACCATCTGTTGCATTCAATTAATAAATGCATAATATAGTATATAATAACTTTTAAAATCCTGACAAGATTTTCATGAAGCTGATCATGTAACTGTATCCAATGACAAATATAGGTGCATAGTAAAAGTAATTGAATACTTCAAAACATAAATTAGCAATAATCCAAAAATATTAATAATGATCCGAATATTTAAATATTGTTTAAAAAATGTAATAGAATTTTATTAAGACGTATTATTCTTAAATTCACGGAAGACTTATAAGAATATCGACAAAAATCTTCAATATAACAGTAAAAATGTGAAGAAAACTAAAATGGCTAATTTCCAAGACATCGTGGACAGACATTATTTCTGGTTAAAGTCGAGATTATTTTTTTTACTAATTGTAAATATAAATAATACTGGTGTGGTGATAATTGACTGCAGGATCGATTGGTTCATATTAAAACAACTATTTTAAAGAAAATTAAATTTAATTGGAATTAAAATTATTTAAAAAAAATTAAATTAAGATATTAGAACAACTGTTTTACCATGCTAACGAGAAATGCTACGTTAACATCAATTCAATATTATAACAGAGCAATAACATTTTTGTTATTTGATAAATATAAAATTAAAATTCAAATTAATTCTTTTTGAATCAGTCATCAATTCTTGTTCATAAAATATATTTAATAAAACTATGTGAAAAAAGTTTTAACATTGTATTTGTATCGTGTAATGATAGTTCAAAAGGATTTTATTTACAATCGAATATAATACAACCTAAAAAGAGCAAGATATTAAAATTATGTCATATATTTTTCCTAAACAAAGAATATACTTCGTTTATGATTGACTGAAAAATTAAATTAGAAATATTTATTGAGAGCTAATTGCAAATTTAATTGGGCCAAACAGAAAAAATGTATAAACTCTACATGAATATAGAAATAACACCATAAATGAATGTTTCTTCAACTGTAAGATTTTAATAAAA